GTTTGCCTTATCAGTGATGATATTTATAGAGCAATTTTTTTATGAAACAAAAAATGATTGTCAATGATAGGACTGAGATTTGGCATTGTTGATTTTGTCCATTTTTGAGGAACCAGAGAATTTCTTGTTGAATAGATGTAATTTTCTTAACTATATTTGTACCTAGATTTGGCATTGATAATTTTGTCCATTTTTGAGGGGACTGACTGAACATTTCTTGCTGAATGAATGTCATTTTCTTATTTATAGTTGTTCCTGTTTGCCTTATCAGTGATGATATTCATAGAGCAATTTTTTGAATGAAACAAAAATGATTATCAATGATAGGACTGAGATTTGGCACTGTTGATTTTGTTCATTTTTGAAGAGCCAGAAAATTTCTTGTTGAATAGATGTAATTTTTTCATTATTAGTTCCTGTTTGCCGTATCAGTGATGATATTCATAGAGCAATTTTTGAATGAAACAAAAATGATTGTCAATGATAGGACTGAGATTTGGCATTGTTGATTTTGTCCATTTTTGAGGGGGCTGACTGAACATTTCTTGCTGAATGAATGTAATTTTCTTATTTATAGTTGTTCATATTTGCCTTATCAGTGATGATATTCATAGAGCAATTTTTTGAATGAAACAAAAATGATTGTCAATGATAGGACTGAGATTTGGCATTGTTGATTTTGTCCATTTTTGAGGAACCAGAAAATTTCTTGTTGAACAGATGTAATTTTCTAACTATGTTTGTACCTAGATTTTGGCACTGATAATTTTGTCCATTTTTGACCGGACTGACTGAATGAACATTTCTTGCTGAATGAATGTCATTTTCTTATTTATAGTTCTTCCTCTTTGCCTTATCAGTGATGATATTCATAGAGCAATGTTTGAATGAAACAAACATGATTGTCAATGATAGGACTGAGATTTGGCATTGTTGATTTTGTCCATTTTTGAGGAGACATAAATTTTCTTGTTGAATGGATGTCATTTTCTTATTTATAGTTCTTCCTGTTTGCCTTATCAGTGATGATATTCATAGAGCAATTTTTTGAATGAAACAAAAATGATTGTCAATGATAGGACTGAGATTTGGCACTGTTGATTTTGTTCATTTTTAAAGAGCCAGAAAATTTCTTGTTGAATAGATGTAATTTTTTCATTATTAGTTCCTGTTTGCCGTATCAGTGATGATATTCATAGAGCAATTTTTGAATGAAACAAAAATGATTGTCAATGATAGGACTGAGATTTGGCATTGTTGATTTTGTCCATTTTTGAGGAGCTAGAAAATGTCTTGTTGAATAGATGTAATTTTCTTAACTATATTTGTACCTAGATTTGGCATTGATAATTTTGTCCATTTTTGAGGGGACTGACTGAACATTTCTTGCTGAATGAATGTCATTTTCTTATTTATAGTTGTTCCTGTTTGCCTTATCAGTGATGATATTCATAGAGCAATTTTTTGAATGAAACAAAAATGATTGTCAATGATAGGACTGAGATTTGGCATTGTTGATTTTGTCCATTTTTGAGGAGCTAGAAAATGTCTTGTTGAAAAAATGTAATTTTCTTAACTATATTTGTACCAAGATTTGGCATTGATAATTTTGTCCATTTTTGAGGCGACTGACTAAACATTTCTTGCTGAATAAATGTCATTTTATTATTTATCGTTGTTTCTGTTTGCCTTATCAGTGATGATATTTATAGAGCAATTTTTTTAATGAAACAAAAAATGATTGTCAATGATAGGACTGAGATTTGGCATTGTTGATTTTGTCCATTTTTGAGGAACCAGAGAATTTCTTGTTAAATAGATGTAATTTTCTTAACTATATTTGTACCTAGATTTGGCATTGATAATTTTGTCCATTTTTGAGGGGACTGACTGAACATTTCTTGCTGAATGAATGTCATTTTCTTATTTATAGTTGTTCCTGTTTGCCTTATCAGTGATGATATTCATAGAGCAATTTTTTGAATGAAACAAAAATGATTGTCAATGATAGGACTGAGATTTGGCATTGTTGATTTTGTCCATTTTTGAGGGGACTGACTGAACATTTCTTGCTGAATGAATGTAATTTTCTTATTTATAATTGTTCATATTTGCCTTATCAGTGATGATATTCATAGAGCAATTTTTTATGAAACAAAAATGATTGTCAATGATAGGACTGAGATTTGGCATTGTTGATTTTGTCCATTTTTGATGAACCAGAACATTTCTTGTTGAACAGATGTAATTTTCTTAACTATGTTGTACCTAGATTTGGCACTGATAATTTTGTCCATTTTTGAGCGGACTGACTGAATGAACATTTCTTGCTGAATGAATGTCATTTTCTTATCTATAGTTCTTCCTCTTAGCCTTATCAGTGATGATATTCATAGAGCAATGTTTGAATGAAACAAACATGATTGTCAATGATAGGACTGAGATTTGGCATTGTTGATTTTGTCCATTTTTGAGGGGACTGACTGAACATTTCTTGCTGAATGAATGTAATTTTCTTATTTATAATTGTTCATATTTGCCTTATCAGTGATGATATTCATAGAGCAATTTTTTATGAAACAAAAATGATTGTCAATGATAGGACTGAGATTTGGCATTGTTGATTTTGTCCATTTTTGATGAACCAGAACATTTCTTGTTGAACAGATGTAATTTTCTTAACTATGTTGTACCTAGATTTGGCACTGATAATTTTGTCCATTTTTGAGCGGACTGACTGAATGAACATTTCTTGCTGAATGAATGTCATTTTCTTATCTATAGTTCTTCCTCTTAGCCTTATCAGTGATGATATTCATAGAGCAATGTTTGAATGAAACAAACATGATTGTCAATGATAGGACTGAGATTTGGCATAGTTGATTTTGTCAATTTTTGAGGAGACATAAATTTTCTTGTTGAATGGATGTCATTTTCTTATTTATAGTTCTTCCTGTTTGCCGTATCAGTGATGATATTCATAGAGCAATTTTTTGAATGAAACAAAAATGATTGTCAATGATAGGACTGAGATTCGGCACTGTTGATTTTGTTCATTTTTGAAGAGCCAGAAAATTTCTTGTTAAATAGATGTAATTTTTTCATTATTAGTTCCTGTTTGCCGTATCAGTGATGATATTCATAGAGCAATTTTTGAATGAAACAAAAATGATTGTCAATGATAGGACTGAGATTTGGCATTGTTGATTTTGTCCATTTTTGAGGAGCTAGAAAATGTCTTGTTGAAAAGGTGTAATTTTCTTAACTATATTTGTACCTAGATTTGGCATTGATAATTTTGTCCATTTTTGAGGCGACTGACTAAACATTTCTTGCTGAATAAATGTCATTTTATTATTTATCGTTGTTCCTGTTTGCCTTATCAGTGATGATATTCATAGAGCAATTTTTTTAATGAAACAAAAAATGATTGTCAATGATAGGACTGAGATTTGGCATTGTTGATTTTGTCCATTTTTAAGGGGGCTGACTGAACATTTCTTGCTGAATGAATGTAATTTTCTTATTTATAGTTGTTCATATTTGCCTTATCAGTGATGATATTCATAGAGTAATTTTTTAATGAAACAAAAATGATTGCCAATGATAGGACTGAGATTTGGCATTGTTGATTTTGTCCATTTTTGAGGAGACATAAATTTTCTTGTTGAATGGATGTCATTTTCTTATTTATAGTTCTTCCTGTTTGCCTTATCAGGGATGTTATTCATAGAGCAATTTTTTGAATGAAACAAAAATGATTGCCAACGATAGGACTGAGATTTGGCATTGTTGATTTTGTCCATTTTTGAAGAGCCAAAAAATGTCTTGTTGAATAGATGTAATTTTCTTAACTTTATTTGTACCTAGATTTGGCATTGATAATTTTGTCCATTTTTGATGCAACTGACTAAACATTTCTTGCTGAATGAATGTCATTTTCTTATTTATAGTTGTTCCTGTTTGCCTTATTAAGGATGATGATATTCATAGAGCAATTTTTTAATGAAACAAAAATGATTGTCAATGATAGGACTGAGATTTGGCATTGTTGATTTTGTTCATTTTTGAAGAGCCAAAAAATTTCTTGTTGAATAGATGTAATTTTCTCATTTATAGTTGTTCCTGTTTGCCTTATCAGTGATGATATTCATAGAGCAATTTTTGAATGAAACAAAAATGATTATCAATGATAGGACTGAGATTTGGCATTGTTGATTTTGTCCAATTTCAAGGAGCCAGATAATTTCTTGTTGAATGAATGTAATTTTCCTATTTATAGTTGTTCCTGTTTGCCACATCAATCATGATATTCATAGAGCAATTTTTAAATGAAACAAAAATGATTGTCAATGATAGGACTGATATTTGGCTTCCTGGTTACTTTTTTTTAATTCAAATCATTGTTGTTGTTGTTGACAGTTCATGTATGAACACATTTTTGTCTACAATATTCTCTGACGAACCAAAGATAGATATGGAATTGATTGATTGGTTTAACCCATTGCCCTATAAGAATCCTTTAAAAAGAAGAAAAAAAAAGACCCTTTTCCAAATTTCATTTAAAAGAAATGCGTTGTTATCAATACAACCACGTCTAGATACTGTGCAGTTGCAACCAGTACCACAGCTGTTATCTAGGTGTAGTGGCCACTGACCAAAGACGTACAGTAATCTCATCAGATAAATGCTGGTTTATGTGTGGCAGCAGGGTTAGGCACACTTAGCATTGCAAGTAAATCTATAGATCCTCTGTTGCTGATAGCAAATGTCTCTGGTTAGTAATCAATCGGCTAACACATTAGCTGTCCTCCATTCCTCCACACTTAGATCTAAATTTAAAAAAACCTTGAAGAGATCTGTTTTGTATTTTTTTGCCAGCATCATTTCATATTCTTGAATAAAAAGATGCTTGTGTAAATTATCTTTTCCCAAAATTCATTAAAGAGTAGATGTTTCTCTGATAGCATATAAATATTCATTGAACAATTTATTCCTAGGTACTTTGGAGCAGAAAGCTTAAAGACTGCGATGACTTACCACCTAGTGGCCCGAACACATTCGTGTCGTGGAGATTTCAGGTCAGCGTTGCAGAGTGAGAAAGAAGCATACACCATTTACAAGAGCAAGGTAAAATCTGACTGTTAGTTTTGTTAACCCAAGAGCTTTGAGTTATCCTCAACTATTAAATACATATTTAATCACATAGAATGGAGCCCTCTAGGCCAATGTTCACCAAGCTTGTCATAAATGGTGACTGGGTGTTTCCTTCGAGAGATCATGTGTCTCAGAAATGGGGAAACTAAAAGTCTGATAACAAGTAAGCCACATCTGTAAATTGGATGTGTGCATACAACTTAGATTCTGGAACAAGAAAAAGCTTGACAAACAAGAACTCTCGGCCAGAGTTTACAGCTTGTGGATGCTAAGGAGAAGAAGATAGATCTTTTATCACATATTCTGTTGTCATGAGCTTTTTTACATGTTTGCCATCGGTCACATTTTTAGTGGCTTGTGAACTTTCTAATTTTTGTCATTGTACAGAATTCAGTTACAAATTTGAGCTTTAAAAAATTCAATTCAGAGATGAGTTAGTTCTAATCTTTCCCACATCCATCATTGTTGCTGTAAGATAAGCCCATGTATTTTCCGATGCCATATCAATGATGAACTTACAGAGCCTTTGTGAATGAAATCATTTTTGATTACCAAATGATAGGACTGAGATATGGCATCCTGCATACTATTTCTCTCTCCTTCGGATGTTTGGTCTGGAATAAGTCATAGCCCTGATCCTCCAGTCCGCTCATTTCATATTTGGGGAGGAAGTTGGCGTTGCCAGCTATTGCTTTCCACATATATCTTTCTCTGTCTTCTTCTGCCTCTCTGCATACTTATCCTATCATATAAATCTAATTAATGCTTCTTTTTCATTTATTTTGTTGGGAGTCGCAGTGGCATAGTGTCTAGATGCTTGCCTCCTGATCTAAAGTATTTAGGTTAAAATGTGCATCAAGGTTGGCCCAAATGATTGCCAGTTAATGTTCTATGAAGTAAAGACAACCGGTGTGACACTGACCTCATCCCTTGAGGGCCGAATTGTTTCACAATGCAAGCATCAAATGGCCAATCTGCCATTGATGCAGAAAAGCGCGCTAATTGTTCTTTGATAGCCCATCAGTTTAATGTTGGGGTTACTTTGAGGCTGTCATGAACAAAATCATCATACCAGATGTCAAGTAGAACTAGTGTCCCATATCAAAAACGACAAGTGGATGTTTCAGCTAGCAAGCCCTGATCAGCACATTACAGGAATAGTTACATTTAAGAACAAGAATACACAAAGATCACTTAACTAAAGTATCTCTCAGAGAAATATACATGTCTGAAGAGTTGAAGCTCTGACCCGAAAGTGAATGCTGCAGCTAGCAAACCTTCATCAGCACATTACAAGGATAGTGTTACGTTTAAGAACAAGAATACACAAGATCACTTAACTAAAGTATCTCTGAGAGAAATCTACATGTCTGTACAGTTACAGCTCTGACCGCATTTAAAAAAACACAGGGAGTAAATACTAGAGGAAAATATGTTGCGGGTAAAGATTTGGTAACTGAAAAACAAATTAGATAAATCTGTGTTGGATATCAAGTCCCCAAGGCATGTTGGAACGCATCATATCTGGGGTATTCAGCTATGTTTAACCAGGGGCCAAAATCTTGAAATTGGGGAATGTCATGGGCCAGGTGCCTGAGCCCCAGAATAGAAAGATGTTTAATACAGTGCAACAGCTATAATCCGCAGGCCACTTGCCAGGCCTCCTGGCCACATTTGGCTCACAGGCCACTAATTAAATAGCCCTTGCATTAGATAGACAGAAGTGGTTCTCAAGAGACTTTGTCATTGGAGTCGCCCAGAACTCAATCCTAATAGTTTTGTATGCATTCATGACTGAGTTGTTAATCGGAGATTGATCAATCAATATCTTGTGTATTCCTGTACTGTAGTTGGGTGAGAACCATGAGCGGACCAAAGAGAGCTCCCAGTGCTTGGCTCACCTCACAAAACAAGCCGTTGTGGTGCAGAAGAAAATGAATGAAATCTACAAAGGGGAGGTGAACTCCACGCTGCCTCCCATACAGGTGGGTACACATGCCAGATATACCTTTATGTAGAAAGTTCTGCATCAGGAGATGTTATGATAAATAAAAATGGGTGGTTCTGTTTTGACGATATCATCCCCAGTCCCTGCCAAATTTTGATTAGTCTGTCTCTAAAGTGCTTAAGGTGATGTGGTGAATTTCTGTGTGAAGAACAATTTATTTATCCCTGGCAATTTTTGTTGTTGTTGCTTGAACTCATATCTGGATATGAGGATTTTCTGATAAGAAGAACCATTTCTTGGTTACTTGATGCATGTTTCCTTATCAGGTCTTGCACTGTATATGATGCTGTCCCCATCTACGCAAAACACCTTAAGACATGGGAAAGTCTTTCATTAAACCCTTTTCCTTTCTATTTTACTGTTGCTTACCTTGTACTAATAGACCCACATGCCAGCTGGCACTGTCGCCTAAGTGATGGGCACTGTCGCCTAAGTGATGATACTCGGAACCTGTAAACTCTGAGCCTGTTAGGATGATTAAAAGCTGTGATTATCAAATTATAGGACTGAGATTTGGTACATGGGTTAAAGTCAAGAGGAGAAACTTCATGGCAGAGGGTTCTATCCCATATGACTGGAAAAAACAGCATTTCTGTTGTAAAGAAAATATTAATATGCCTTTATGAGATGTCTATCAGGTATATGATGTCATTAATATATATGTTGTCATCTGTGAGATGTCCTAACATGAGTGTTTTTTTAGAAATATTTTCATGCAGCACTAGTTGTTTTTAAGTTTGTTTATTTCCCAATTTGTTAGAGAAGAAAATTGAATAACTCTTTGACCCCCTCCGCCCCGAGATACAAAAATTGTTTATTATATGCAGAGCCAGCCGTTAAATTGCATGTGTACTCTTCACGGCACCGGGTTTGATCCCATTTAGCTGGCCACCTGACGAGAGGGTCACTAAAAGCACAGATACCAGAGCTCTGATGACTATCCTCTTTGTTCTGTGTAAACATTTCACTTATGGTGAACTGACTGACACAGCCATGAAATAACAATTGACGTATATTGTAAAAGGCATTTTTACAAATAAGGATTTTCTGAACTCAGATGTGTTGAGCGAAATGGCGCAGATATCACAGTCTTGCTGTAAACCACAACAGTCCTGCCAGCTGCACATAAGATGAAGAAGAAAAAATCTGACCAGTTCTTCCAGTGATATTGTGAGAGATGTTTGTGGAACAGTGCTGGGCACTGTATTGATATGATTGTTTGAGTGATTGTGTGAACCTTTATCTGCATAAGACATACATAGACTTCTTGTTGAATGGGTAACCAGTATAAGAATGCTCATCCCCTTAAATCCATTTCTCTCTCTATGGCCCAGCTTAGAATAGTTTGTGTGAGTGCACGTGTACATTTATGCATGCGAGTGTCAGCCTACCGCATATCTGGTGTTTATCCATGCATATTTGCACAAATCAAGCACTACCCATGAATAGGACAACCTTGAAAATGTAAACAGTTTCTTGGGAAATCCCAGAAACTTACAAAAGTTGTTGAATTTGGCTCCGAACCCTGATATACATCTAGAGTTATCTGTGACTGTTTCATTAATGTGTGATTACTGACTGTTTGAACACAGATTCAGCCTCCTTCCTTGGTGGGTGTGCTGGAGACACTGAATGTCATTAATGGAATTGTCTTTGTGCAGATCAGGTATGTTTGCTGTTTATATGGGCTAATACAGTTTATTGTTTAGTTAAGAGTTGACATCACACCACTCGGGACATTCCCATAAGCACTCTGTCCCCATCTTCAGCACCAAGCCCAGAGTTTTGATTCCAGTGGCATCAGTAACTTTCTGAATGTTGAGAGTCAGTCAGATCCCCTGTACTGCCATAAATAAATAAATACAACGTATGTGACTAGAAAGCCCAGCGGAGGGAACGGAAAAGGGCCACACACATAAAAATGAATGCTTTTTATCAGCAGAGTTCTAAATACAGCACTGCCATTGACTACAGTAGTGATTCCCAAACTGAGCGCTGCGGGGTCCCGGCATTGACTAGAGCAGTGATTCACAAACTGTGCACTGCGGCACCTCAGAGAGCCACGGCCTCTTCACAGGGGCGCCGCAAAATATTGTAAAAGCTTCATTATTAATTTAACCAAGATACGAGTAGTCATACTTTTGCTTAGGTTAGGGCGACGTGGCAAACTTTAATTAAAAAAAGGCACCACGACCAAGAAAGGTTTGGGAAACACTGGACTACAGTAAACCTCATTAACAGAAACTCTCAAGAACACTAGGTTAACACAATGTTGATCCCAGAAAGGGTCTTTTATTATTACTCTTTGGGTAGTACATCATCTTTACAAAATCTTGATGTTTGTCAGCCCTTTGGAATTTGTGTTAAGGTTTTACATTATTTGAAATGATCTCCTTGTAATGTTCTGTTTACTATAAGGGAAATTTTTTGAGACTTTATAGGGATCATCATCAAGTACAGACATTAAAGAGTCTAGGCATGTGGATAACATCCCTTGGAAGATGTATCAGAGATAATGATCAGAGCCCAAACTGCCATTTTATCAAATGAAAATTTTGTGCAATGAATCCATGTCATTGGAGGTTAGGAAAAGGATTCCCGCGATGGGGTTTTACCGTAGAATCCTTAGAATTTCTTCCACAGCTAAAAAGAGCAACCCGAATGTTTTGAAAGAGGCAAGAGCTTGAAGACAACATCACAAACATTAGAGACACTCATAATTTGTTGGTCAGGTTGTGAGAAGAGGGAAACTGCTACATGTTGTGACCACTGGAAGGATTTGTGGCAAGAGAAAGACAAGATTCCTGACAGCCTTTTATCATGGTGTGGAGAGCGCTGTCAACATATGAACTGATATAGTCAGTTGTGGATCGCTAGTGAATAAAGAAAGAAGAAGAAATGGTATGTATGGAAAGGAAAGGGGAGTTGTCAACATATGAACTGATATAGTCAACAGTTGTGGATCGCTAGTGAATACAGAAGAAGAAATTCTATGTATGGGAAGGAAAGGGGAGTTGGAAAAAGGGATGAGTGAACAAATGATTAATTTGATTGTATTTAATAATATGGTCTTCATCTGTGAGTTTACTGGCCATAAACTGCAGTGGAAAGTTCTAGCTGTTTGTTCATTCCTGGACTTCCAGAATGTTTTTGGTGCACATCAGCTGTAAGGATCTAGCTTAGATTTAGTTTCTTACCTCGCAGTCAGATGCCCTCCAACTTTGAAGGAAACACCCTCAACTAGTTGGCTTTTACACCACACTTGTTGGTGTGGGTGGTGGGTGATGGGTGTGGCAGTGGGTCTGTTATCCCCCCCTCCCCAGAATGGGTCCCGGAATCCACACAAGGAGGATCAGATAGTGACATTACAGCGCCTATATGTTTGGTACAGACTCTTTATTTGTATTTTCTGAATATGAAATCCACAGCCCGGATGAGCTGGAGAAGTTCAAGCAAGAAATGAGCAAACACTCTCTGGAGCACGTGGGAGAGACAACTTCTGACACAGAACAGCAGGCTGTGGAGACAAAGTCTGGCACAGAGCGGCAGGCCGGTGAAGCAGACGACAAGCCCCAGGTGGCTGAGACTGATGTCACTGACAAACCAGTGGAGAATGGTGAAAAAGTTGTGGAGAACAACAACAATGCGGTGGTTGTTGAGGGCATTGCCCTTGCTTAATGATATATTTATTTATTTGTGCTGATTAGTTCTTGTGTGTGTGAGCGGTTGTTTCTTACTGCCATTGATGGGGGGATTTTTGAACTGGGGAAGGGGGTGTTCAGTTTCTGCACCCTAAACATGAATGGTTGTTCCATTTGTTATTTTTTGGGGGGTAAGCTTGCCTGCAGATCTAAAAGTCATGGGTTCAGCTCCGAACAGAGGACTTTTTTCTCTCCAGAAATGACCTTGGCTCCCAGGTCAACATACCCTTAAATGGGTATCAGGTGAAGTCTTGGGAAGTAAAGGTGGCCGGCATGATGTTGACCACATCCTCTACCAGATGCTTAATCTATAAATGTAGGTCTAGCATTGTGCCCAAAGGTGTGAAAATGGTCCTTTATGCCAATCCCGTTGAGTGATTTATGTTCGTTTGGAGGGTGATTGTTTCATTTCTCTTTAATCCTACTGAATAATTCATGTTTGCTTGGAGGGTAATTGTTCCATTTCTTTCTCTTGTAGTCTCATCGAGTGATTCTTGATTATATGGACAATGATTATTTCATTTCTCTTTAATACTACTGAATAATTCATGTTTGTTTGGAGGGTAATTGTTACATTTCTCTTGTAATCCCATCGAGTGATTCTTGATTTAAGTGGGGAATGATTTGTTTCATTTCTCATTAATCCCACTGAATAATTCATGTTTGCTAGGAAGGTAATTGTTACATTTTTCTTCTGTAATCCCATAGAGTGATTCTTGATTATCTGGAGAATGATTGTTTCATTTCTTTTTATCCCACTGAATAATTCATGTTTATCTGAAGGGTTATTGTTCCATTTCTTTTTGTCTAAATGAGGGTTATTCACGATTATCTGAAGAATGATTTTTTAAAATACAAAATATTCACATTGTGTGATTCATATTTATCGTGAAGGTGGTTGTTCCATTTTTGGTCCCAACTGTTGTGCGTGTTGTATTTGATGCTTTTATTCTCAGAGATTGATTGCTACATTATGATACTTTGTAACAGATTCATAGTTTGTTTTGCTTAAAATACTACTGTGAAGAGCACATATCTACGTGTATGTGGTTTGGACATAATTACACAATATAGAGCTGGTGTCAGCAGTCGTCAGTTACATAATTTCACTGAACACTATTACTAGGAAGCTCCAGTGAGGAAGGAAGGAAAAGCATACACTGGAACAATAAAGCGTCTCAGATGAAGTCTTGGTCGACAAGAGGCCCAACAAGACGATGAGGAATGCTAGTGTTAGGGCTGGTGTGTGGTTTTTTTCGTCTTCTTTTGTGTAATTTCCCTGTCTCATGGCTAGGGTTCATCTTATGCTACATTTAGTGAACGCTTTGACCAAAACATTAAAGTTTGTGTTCATTGAATTTATACTAACTCGACTGCAGTCACTCTTATTTTCTTCAGTCACTTTCATTCTTGATGATAATTTTGGAGAATGTGTCATATTTTTGTATTTACGCATGGTGTGAATTTTTCTGTGGACAGTTTGCAGATAAAGTATTGATTTGTTAAGGTATTGTGTTAGTTTGTCGTCGAGGTCCTTGTTGGAGCACAGTACTCGAAGTATGAATGGAAAATTAGGAAACTTTGGATTTGAATTTGACATTTCGTTGATTTCGATGACTGATTTTTTTTCCTAAGAAAGCATGATAGATTTTTTTTTTTTTTTAAAAAAAAAAAAACTGCATTTCTCTTGTAAAAAAAAAATATTTATATGCCTTTATGAGGTGTATGTCATGTATATGATGTCATTTCTGTCTGCGACATTTGTAAAATGTTGTCACCTCATTGTTTTATTGAATCGTTTTCATGCAGTGCTAGTTATTTTTTTTTAAATTTGCTGTCCTCTGTTTGCCAGGAAAGAAAATTAACATTTTGATAATTTTTTTAACGAGTTAAGAGAATTATTGTCCATTATATGCAGAATCAACCGATTATTTTCATGTATACACTTCATATCAGCGTGTGTTCAAGGTGTTTCTGACCTGTGTTTGTCTGAAATGAATGTTGGGAGTTTGAGAGCACAAGGGAATTATTTTAAGTTGTTGGAGCACAAAATTTGACTTGGCATGCTGGTGGAGGGAGGATGTATGTGTGGAATCATCCTGTGCAGTTTTCTAGGTAAAAAAGGATATAGGATATCCTATAGCATGGCTATTCAGCTAAGTTTACTCAGGGGCCACATTTTTAAAACTGGGGATTGTCACGGGCCAGAGTCATGAGCCCAAGCATAGACAGATCAATAATATAATACAACTGGCAGTGATCCGCGGGCCACTTACTAGGCCTCCCACGGGCCGCCAGTTGAATAGCCCTTTCTTGTAGGTTTCTATACGTAGGATTTTTGTGAAAACACATTTTGATGCCTGTTCTCCACGGCTGAAGAACACACACACCAGGATAGCTGGAGTTATGTTTGTAATGGCGTTGGTGATATGTTAATCTGTCTACGTATGGAGACATATGGGTCACTCTAGAAGTCAGGGCAAGAATGCAGCCAGGTGATTGTGTGATTTAAAAAAAGGGGGGGGGGGGGGGGCGAATCACCCACCTGATAATGGTGTGCTATTTATTGAAACTGAGGCGTTGGCTAACTACATGGAGTGTGGCTGTAGTAGTGGACATTAACATTAGATGTTGGGGCTGGCCCAGCCAGTTCTGCATATTTGTATTTATTTTGTGTACACTGGTAGTGTAGATGATTCCATAGTCTTTAGTTGAATCCTGCCTGGCTTTTGCATGACCTGTTGTGTGTTGTTCACTTGTACTGAACTTATTTATTTGGTACATTAGAACAGTGGAGTTTAAGAAGCAAGGATGTAATTTATCATTGTGATAAATGTATTTTTTTTCCCTCCTGGTTATAAATAAGCAATGCTTGGGGTACCAAAGCAGCAGGGTGGCTGTCACTCTTGCCAGCCTGCCCAGGGGTCATTGGTTTGAATCTCCATTAGGCCGTCGATTACAGTATATTGCTGTAGGTGTCCAGGTTAACCTGACCTAATGTGGGAGTGTAGATATTTCACACTGACCACATCAGCGACCGAGTGTTGTTAGAAAAATATTTGTTTAACATCACTTGTCTCGTATAACATAACCCTTTCGCCCCATACATGCAAAAGACCTTGTGAACCCTGGCATTCTCAAAATAAAAATCCTTAACCATTTTAGTTTTTAAAAATGCATTATACATATGGAATTTTGCCTGGAAAATGTGGAGCGTAATCAGTGAACATGGACTAACTGGATTTCATTTCCCTGAACCTAAAAATTATGTATTTAATACTCATACTTTAACCTCAACAGAATTTTAGACACTAAGTGTTAGGAAATTAGAATACCCCTTTTATCCACAGGGAAATCCCCCTAAATCTGTTATTAGTAAATATATTAATATCCTGACCTCCTTAACGCTGCTCAGGCATAATACAACCATTAGCGTTAACTAGGCTTCAAAAAACATGCCACTAGAAATTCGGGTAAAAGGCATTTATGAGGAATTGGATCCTACTGTTAAGTGCTGAGTTTGCAGCTGCATGGGGCGTACAAGTTAAGAGGGGAAGTACCAGCTCCCTTCTCGCTGTCTTTCCTTCCCAATTATGTTTAAATTAACCAGAAATCCTGTCCTTGTGGGAGCACATTCCTGCAAGTACCACTTGTATCTCTCTGTGCCTTGCTTGTACACGTCGTGTAGATAGCGAACCATTTATACTTTCTTTCAGACTGCTTTTGTATCCACTATTAATCATGATTTTGTTGATGACTGCCTTATTCCTTTTGTGTGTTTATATTGTTTAGTTGATCATGCATGCGTGTGAACCCCCCTGTTTAGATTAGACATTCCATGAAAGTTAACGTCTGGCAATAAATAAAATATTCATGATGCCACAGATGTTGCTCAAATACCACATGTTCAGTGTTAGAGCGAATGTTTTGTAATGTGGTGGAATGTCTGTGGACTGGTGGGATCTCCTAGAATGTCTGTGTGGGATCTCCTGGAATGTCTATGTGGACTTGTGAGATCTCCTGGAATGTCTGTGTGGACTGGTGGGATCTCCTGGAATGTCTAGTCTGGTGGGATCTCCTAAAATGCCTGTAGACTTGTGGGATCTCCTGGAATGTTTGTAGTCAGGTGGGATCTGTAATGTCTGTGGACTAGTGGGATCTCCTGGAATTTCTGAAGTCTGGTGGAATGTCTGTGGATTGGTGGGATCTCCTGTAATGTCTGGACTGGTAGGATATTCTGGAATGTCTTTAGTATGGTGTGATCTTTATCTAGATACTTTAGTCAAATTTTTAAAATACCCTCTACACCAATAAGCACAGTTAGATAGCTGTAAACAATCTTTCCAACGGTACCTCATTTAGGCTTGTATGTCATTTCTGAGCTGAGATATGTAGGTTTTTGTGGAGATAAGAAGTAAAAAAATAGCTGTTGAAAACTTGCGTCTCAGAAATAAGTTTTCTCTGCGCAACCAAACTGCGCACTTTCGTTTTGGCTTTCTTTACATTGGACAAGATGGCAGACAATTTTTCTCAGACACAGCCACATAATAGCGATTGCCTGAAAAATGTCACTGTAAATCGAAATAGCCATACATAGGAAAGAAATTGTATATACAAATGTAAAATTGGACGGAGAATCAATTATAACTAGCATTACCATGTCTGGTAATGTTTTAAGGCCTAAAGCCAACCTTGAATACAAAAATTATACTTACCGCTATTTTAAATCAATTTGATGTAACAGAAAAACAGAGGCGCTGTTAATCGGGTTCGTTCCCGCCGTTTTCAGCTATTTATAGCTGGTGAAAATCACACCAATCGCAACATTTCATGAGAGATTAGGACCCATCCCGAAACCCCAGCCGACATTTCCCAAACAAGTTTCGAACGGTTTCCATGGTAACGGAAATTGCCAAAAAGACCGCAATATATGCTGAAACTGTAGTCGCTACTGTATCTGCACTCTGGAATGTATAG